AGTTGTCTATAAGCCACTCTTGCTGTGTGCTTAGGGTCATTGTCCTGTTGGAAGGTGAACCTTCTGCCCAGTCTGAGGTTCTGAACGCTCTGGACTGGGTTTTCATTAAGGCTATCTCTATATTTTGGTGCATTGAGCTTGTCTTCTACTCTGATGAGTCCCTCAGTCCCTGCCGCTGAAAAACAGCCCAACAGCATGTGGCTGCTACCAACACACTTTACTTTTGGGATGGCACTCTGCAAGTGATGAGCAGTGCTGGTTTCCTTCAAACATGATGCTTGGAATTGAGGTTCATCAGACCAGAGAATCTTGTTTCTCACAGTCTAAGGGTCCTTTAGGTGCTTTTTTGCAAAGAGGCAACATGCTTCTGTGAACCTTCAATGAAGCAGAATTTTTTCTGAACTCTTCCCCAGATGTGTGGCTTGACGCAAACCTGTTTCTGAGCTCTACAGGCAGTTCTTTTGACCTCAGGGCTTGATTTTTGCTCTGATATGCATTATCAGCTGTTAGACCTTTTATTAAGATGTGTGTCATTCAATTGAATTTGCCACAGGTTAACTTCACTTGATGTGTAGTAACATCTATAAGCAACATGAATGCTCCTGAGCTCAATTTCAACTGTACCAGATAAGGGTATGAATACTTATGCAATGGAATCATTTAAGTTTTTTAGTTTTAATAAATTTGCGAAAAGTTTTTTGCTTTGCCATTATGGTGTATAGAGTGTAGAATGACGTGGGAAAAAAGTAATTTAATGCAATTTAACATAAGGCAGCAACATAACAAAACATGAAAAAAAAAAAATGATTATATATATATATATTAAATGGGGTGAATACTTATAAAATCAGTTATTTTAATCTTATTTTTATAATGATTTTAGATTACTTTGTAGAGGTCACTTTGAAGACTTTCTTGTTCCCTCTATAAAGCCAAATCATATCTTTTGTGATTCAGTGCTGTAAATCAGCAAAACATGAGAAAGTCTTACGGGGGTGAATACTTATTAAAGGCTCTGTGTCCTCCTGTATACAGAATGTTAGCCGCCACCATAAGCTGCAGCCCGGGAGCATTATTAGATCTGCCACTGCTGTGTCACCATGCATCTCTCCTCTCATTATCTGCAGTCGAGAGGAGAGGATTTATTTAGAACACTGACTTGAACCGAATTTATCTGGATGAGTTTAGATCTCTTGCTCAGTCAGTTGAGATGTGAGATGTGAAGAAATGAGGTTAATCACAATTATAGTAATGATTCCTGGGAAAATGGGGAAGTAAAGTTAATTACTATTATTTAGGGATGCTCAATATATTATGATCATATCTATTATGAACCAAACTTTTTTTTTTTTTAGTTTTTTTTTTTTTTGTAACATGTAGGTCAGTGTTGTTTTTTTTCTTTCTTTTTTATCAGCTAATGTTGGTTATTTAACTGGGTGGGGACTTTTATATTTCACAGTGGAACTTAAAGGGTTAGTTCACCATGGCTCCGAGGGGTGAACAAAGGCCTCCTGTAGCGAATCGATGTGCTTTTGTAAGAAAAATAACCATATTTAAAACGTTATAATCACTTTAATCTAGCTTGCGCTCACTGTTGTACATGGAAGCAGCTCCGGGCGGATGATGTATGAGGTCAGCTTTGCGCTTACGCCGGTCAGACGCGACAAAGCAGGAGGCGCAGGGGAG